ACGATAACACAAGCAGACAGATCTCCAGTTGCTTCCTTTCAGCTAGGCCAGGTTTAAAACCCTGCTCACACCTGTCTGGACTGCCATGACTTGGTTAAACAAGCCAGCTCCAACCCCAGGAGCTCTGGCTCACAGGGAACAGCCCCAGGGGACAGGGGTGTGAGGGACAAACAGAGCATGCTGGACATCCCTTCCTCATTCCCAGATCCCAAGACCAGACAGGTAAAGTGTGTTCCCATCCCCGTTTCCTTTGGAGATGCAGGAAGCCATGAGGAAGGGCATCTCCTGAACTCAGCTGGCTGCAGTGACATGGGCTGACCATGCCAAAAGCCACCCAGGAGCTGCTTCCCAGCTCTATTTGGCCAAGTTTTGCAACCAGAGCTGAGGTCTGGTGACTGCACTGCTCCCAGCTCTTGTTCATCTGAGCAGCTAAACTGCAGTGGAGATGAATCCTTGATTCCAACGGGGTGGGCAGCAACTGGGAGAGAAGCTGAGTGCCAGTGCTGCAAGCTAGCAAACTTTAAACATTTTTAAAAAGGGAATTTTTTCCTAAAAACACCCAGAATGTGGAAACCCAGGGCATTGGGAATATTTCTCTGTCTGCTCGGGGGAGCACTGACTTGGACCCTCATTCATGGAGAAAGTTTCCCAGACTACAAGATAAACTAGAATCCACAAAAGCGTGAAATAGATTATAGAGAGTAGAGTAGGTGCGTCACTTGGTGAGAAATTTAGGTTTTGGAGTTTTTAGTATGTTGTGGATGGAAGCAAGATAGAAGGGTGTCATCCTGGGTTTCTTCTTCATGCTTCTTCTTCCTTCTTCTCCATGGGTTTGGGTGGCATTTTGTAATTGGGCAGAAAAGTCCCATTGCAGCTCTTTGGGATCAGTTATTGGGTTAAAAGGGAAAATAATCTAGGTGTCAGTTCTTAATTTGATAGTTTAGTTTTAAAAGACCCTGTAACAAGAGATTGTTGGCCATTTTGTGCCTTCTAATGAAAAGCTGCCCAACTCACAGTAGTGAGACTGTTTTACTGATAAGAAATAATAAACACTTGAGTCTGATCATGAACTACTGTCTCAAGTGCCTTCAATCCAGACCCAGAGAAACCAATGACTCGTACCCCCACACTGGAATGACACTGTTCATTGCTACAGCATCAAAAGAAGATGAAGCAAGGAAAAGCTGCAAATCCCAAACAGGATTAAGCAAGATGAGTGATCGCTAAGAGCAGAGTCACACAACTGGTTCCCTCCGTAGATATCACCATTTGTTGTGAAAGCCAGTACACTTAAAGATAGAAGACAAATTTTACAATGCTTTCTCTGACCCAGTTTTCCACCAAGATCCTTGAAAGTCCAGAAGGGGAGAGAGATGTTATGGAAAGGAGATCGAGTTTGCAAGCATTTCTCTTCCACAATGCTGCAGTTTTGGACTCTGGGATTTTTCCTACAACTTCTTGTACTGTCGTGGAAGTAAGGAAGGGTTCTACAGTTTGGGTGGCATCTGAGTAGACTCAAAACTACATATCTACTATATGAGAACTCACTGGGCTAGAGGGAAAGTCTTTTTCAGGAGGTCCAGTCAGACAAGTGATTTTACAAGGTCTGCAATCAGCAGCAAGCTATGCAATTAAGATAATGAAATCTTCACCAAAGCCACGCAGATTTCCTGATTTTCCACCTTGTAACAGCTTTATGTAGCAGGTTTGGGGCAGCAGGGGCATAGAATCCTAGAATGGCTTGGGTTGAAAGGGGCTGTAAAGTTCTCCCTGCCATGGGCAGGGACACCTTTCCTAGCCCAGGTTGCTCCAAGCCCCATCCAACCCAGCCTTAGGCACTGCCAGGGATCCAGGGGCAGCCACAGCTTCTCTGGGCACCCTGTGCCAGGGCCTCACTACCCTCATAGAGAACAATTCCTTCTTAATGTATTTTTTTTGTCTTCTTTTTCATTGAACTGTGTTTCTGAATTCAGCAGGGTGCATTGGCTGACCCCAATCCCAATGACAGCTGGTAGAGGGATGCAGCAGGACAGAACGAAAGGTGTACAGGAGGTGGGTTTTCCTTTATTCCGGACTGTCCTGGGCTGCTACAATTAACTGGCAATAAATTACAGTCATTTTCTCTGAGTGAGCCTGTTTGCCTGTGTGGTGAGAGGTGAGAGCTGTCCCTGTCCTCACGTGACCCTCTTGTTCATGTTCTCTCCCTGTGCTGTTGACAGAGGGAGTGACAGCAGCCAGCCAAGGTCACCCAGCACCCACCTGCTGCACTTACTCAGCTCATAAACCTCGGGAGCTGAGCACACCTCCCAGAGCAGCAGCCTCCAAACCAGGATTTAAACCTTTGTACAGCCGAGGTATCCAGGGTGTGGGAGTCACATTTATCACTCCCACTCCCAGGGAACAATAAAACTGAGACAAGTGACACCAATAAAGGAAGGACTTCTATAGAGACAACAGTAATGGGCAGACACCTGAAATAAGAAGGGACTTGAATGAACTGATGGGAAATAAAGGGTCTACCCTCAAACCTCTTTTGCCCCCTTCCCACCACCCTGGGTGGGGAGTTCTTACAGGAAATCTCATTTATCACTCCCACACACAGACTCAAGGAATGACAAAATGGCCTGAGGATGACACAACCATTTACACTGTCCATTCATGAAGAGCTCAAGAAACCCTGGAAAACTTTCTAGAAATACTGGTTATCTGCCCAGCCTAGGCTTGAGGAGACAGAGGTGTGGATGGCCATGCCAGAGGAGTCAGTGCCTCCATGCCACCCATTGTGGGGGGCACCACACACACCAGACCTGCCAGCTAAAACTCCTTGAGCACAGGTAGAGTTCAGGGCCTCCAGATGAAAAATGTCACACAAAGCACTTCAGCATATTTCATAAACTTAGATTTGCTCAGATCTCTCAGAGCTGTTCCAGAAAGTCTTGGAAAGGCTGATCCCTCATGTTGCCCCAGGCCTCCATCACACCACAATTTAAAATTGTTCCAAGAGCACCTCTGGTTCATAACCTAGACCAAAAACAACAGAAAAAATTAGGGGAACTCCTCAGAAGGGTCAACAGCTTGGGAGTGTCCGTGAGGGAAGTGAAATTCAGGTACCCACCCCAAACAGGGCTCACACATGGTCTGTCACAGCCATCTTCCTGTCCTTGAGACAAAAAACCTATAGAAAAGTTCAGCAGTTCCCTCAACAAGTTTAATTTTTGGCAAATCAAATAAAACAAATATAGATAGATAGATAGATAGATAGATAGATAGATAGGCACAATCAACTGTAAAGCCCTTCTACACTCTCAGCTTCAAGCACCTCCCCACAGTAATTAACACAATCATTAATTTCATCAAGTAGCTGCCAGGCTCCCATGACAGGGAATAAAAATACTTTTAATTTTCCCAAAAAAAAAAAAAAAAAAAAAAAAAGACGCAACAATCTGTTTTTTCTCATTTTGGGGGATCTGCCAGGACCCCAAGGACCAGCCCTGGGTCCTTGAAGCTCACCCAGAGATGCCTCAGCCTGGGGGTGCCTCAGGCTACTGAGCTCTGGCAGTTGTCTCAGACAAGAAGCCAAGCAGGTTTCAGTGGCCCTACAGCATCACTCTGGCACGTTTTATCAAAATAAAATGTTCTTCCTGAGCAGCTGCTTGATTTTGATGACTTGCTAAGATAAGAGGACTTTTTTGTTTTCTAGAAAAAAAATACAATTATATTGAAGAATAATATTCAAAGTCTATACTATAGGACCATATTTGATCTAGTGCACAAAGTTGCCATGGCTTTTTTTCCCTGCCCATGTTGCCCACACTGCCTCATGACAGACACCTGCATCCAAGACCTGTGTAAAGCCTTTGTTTTTCCATTTAACTCATTCTCTTACACACACAAACTCATGGGCTCCTTGTTCCACTCTTCTAGCTCCTCTCCTGAGGTCTTCTTATCTAAAGACCACCATATGTATGAAATTATATATATATCTGTATCCACACACCACTGCATCTTCCCTGTGTGCTGCTTCCCCTCACCCCACAGGGGATGACAGGCTCACAACTCCCTCTTTTCCCCTTTTCCAGGGCTCCCCTCTCTTCCCTTGTACTTGTGGCTGTTGAACATCCCCCTCTCAAGTAACCCTCCTGCAATTTTAGCAACAACAGCAGATTTCAGTGATGAAAACCCCCTGAAGCAAAGTGCAGGATGGGTGGGTCAGAGCAGCTGATGTACTTTGACCCAAAAGTAGTTTCCAGGAGTTGGGAAACACTTGTATGTCCAATCAGCTGGATGGGAGAGCAGGAGACAAAGGTCATACTCATCCTCCCTGCCCCAGCCTGCAAGCACTGGGAAAAGGGAGAGGCAGCCTGGCAGCAAAGCAGACAGACATAAGGAAAAAAGGAATATTCTTTTTGCAGATTCAGCTAATATTCTCTCCCTTTCCCTCCTTAAGAGCAGAGCAGAGTTGTTCTTCCTAGTGGTTTCCTGTTCAGCTGTGAAGTCCAGAGGCTCAGCAGCCTCCCAGAAAGAGGAAGAGGTGCTGTTGCCATCCATCTCCCCACCACAGGATCTGCTGGACCGTTTGGGTGGGTTTTCTTTTAATGGACTTACATTTTTTTCTGCTTTCTGCACTGACTCAGCAGAGCTGAGGCTCTTTTTATCCCCCACCAAACCACAGCCCAGTGAGGTGGCAGCAATTTCCAGTTTCACTGCACTCACACAGCACTTCTGACCCAGCCAAAAAGCTAATTGTAGGTGTTGCTGGCTTGTAGGCAAATCGTTTACAACTCACTCAGCCCTCCTGGATCAATGAAAGGAGGAGCGGCACATCTGCTCTCTGAGAGTGAGCACTGACACGGGGACACTGCTTTAGACAGACAGACAGAGAGACAGACAGAACTCCACCACCACCCCACTGGCAACCACTTAATGCACAATGAGTCACCAGCTCCCCCTCCCTGCCCAGGCTCACAGGAGAAAAGCAAAATAGAAAGAGATGTACTCACGCATGTCACCAATGGCTCCTTTGGTGACATTTGTGGCTTTCCTTACTGTCACAGTGAATATGTGTGAGTACTGGTGCTCCACCTGAAAGTCAGAGAGTGAGAGGTGATTAAGATCCAGAACCAAGAAACACCCCATCTCTCAAAAGAAGTTTTCATTTTGTCCAAAAACAGAGAGAGAGAAATCACCCAGTCAAAACAAAAGGGAAACTCATACTGGATAGAGCATCCTAAAGCTGAACTGCACCCTGGAGCTTTACCAAGAGGTACCTGCACTGGGGCTGCTGGATTTTCCTGCAGCCACACCTACTAATCTCAACCAACAACACTCCCTCTCACCACAGAACCTGCTCCGAGGCATTTAGTCAGGCAGCAACCACTGAGAACGGCAAGGGAAAAATAAAAATGGGCTTTTTTACAGCTTGTCTTGGTAATTGCCTTCCCCTGCTAAAAAGAATGAGAGGAATTACTTCAAAGTCTGTGTTCTGGAGCAGATAAATGCACAGTGCACACACAAGGGGTAAGAGTTAGTGCTGTACTTTCTAGTACACATCAATATTCAGTGTGAAAGCAGCCTCAAGACAATGTAAGGAAGGTGCAAAGCAAGCTGTCAAAACAGCCACCAGCACCTTTCCTGCACTTTCTGGAGGTTCTTGTTTCCTGCAAAGCCCAAACACACAGCAGGAGCTGCCTGCCTAGGAGCAGGTGTGTCCTCAGCAAACCAGGGAAGTAGGAAAAGACATGAAATTAAGAAACAAAAAGCAAAAGCCTTAATAAAAGAGGTCACTAACTTGGCTGTAGTGTTGCTTTATCTACATGGCCCTGAGTTTGACCAACCTGCTGGATACCACTGAGAATCACCAGTGCAGACTGCAGGGCAGCTAATACTGCCTTTACAGGGACACAGAGATTGGAAGGAAAAGTGAGGTATTAAAGCCAGGATCAGGTCTCACACCATTGTATATTTTCTATCTTTTCCTAACCACCCACTGACCTTGTGAAGTACATTAAAATAAACTCACTCACTGGGACCAAAACAACCAGGGAGAAGGCCACCATCAGGAAATTCACTGAAATTAATTTAAAATCATAGACAATACCCTTGCTATGGGACATGCTTAGTCACACTCTGCCTGGTGTTTTCCTGGTATTTTTTCATCTAGATAATGCCTTTTTTTTTTTTTCCCAGAACTGGTTGTTTCAGCCAAACCTCCTTATTTTGTGTCTACAGCTCACACCCAGAGACCTGAGCCAAACTGGATCCCTCTCATAAGAATAAAGAAAAAAGTTAAACATCTCATAAGTTACATAGAATTTTCTGGAAAAAAAATTAAAAAAGGGAAAAAAGGAAGGCCAAAACGAATCTTCTAAAGACAGCAAAGTGACTTGTGAGTGCTTAAGTGGCATTTGAGTCAGGAGTCAATAAAAAGCACCTCCAGTGACAGCAACACAACTCCTGCAGCAGCCTGAGGTGTGCCAAGGCACAGCCACATCCCTGTGGCAAAGGCTCCAGGAGAAAACACCCACAGCCATGCAGGGTGGGTGGAAAACATCCACACTCTCATAGAGGTGGCCACAGATGACTCCACTGCAGCCATGCCTGACCCAGACACTGAGTTTATCAGCTTTATCTGGCTGGAATCACCCCCACACTGTGCCAGCTGCTCCAGGATCCGGCCAGGACAGTCTGCCTGGCTCTGGAATTTTCCCCTGGCAGCCACAGGGGTTATCTGGATCCAAGACCAAATGAGCAGGCAAGGAGGAAACTGTGGCAATGCCAGCTGTGGTGCACTGAAACTGTCATGGCACTGCAAGTGGTTCAGCACCACAGGAAAAAGGGAATTCAGACTCTACCCAACACTCCCAGTGGGATGCTGCTCACCTAAAACATCAGACCCAGCAGAGAGGGCTCAGCTCTGGGAACCCAGAGCTCCTAAGGAGCAACATGTATTTCACAGCCTTGCACGGGCTGACATGAAGACATCCCAATGACTGAGTGACATCCATCCCCTTCTGCACTGCAGCTTCCAAGATGAATGAGGGGGAAGGAGGATGAGACTTCTCCCTGAACAAATTTCTGCCTCTGCCAGAGGGGAAAAAGAAGTCCAGAGTTTTCCTCCACAGAAGGGTAAATGGGGATTTTGGTGGGTATCTGGGAAGGGCTAGGAACACAGCTGTGTGAAGTCACCCCAGCTCTGACATTTACCCTGCCCCAAAAACTTTTACAAGCTGTGACTCCCCAGAATCCATGGGCTCTCACTGCCCCCTATTTCCAGCTTGCTGTCTGAAATTGTCCAAAGCTGTTTTATTATCTCCCATTATATTATCTCCCAAGTATGCCAGATTGATATAGTTGGTTTCACAACTGGCCTCAGTTTCTTCATACAGACTGAAGCATTTCCTTTGTCATATCCTACCTTGTAATTAAAAGAAACAGCCCAAAGTACAAACACACCACCCTCCTCCTTTTTCTCAGCTGTCAAGAGAGAGCTTGTCCTCAGTGGAGACCACAAATCAGAGATCACTGAGCATTTAACAGTGAAGAGGAGTTATAATTAAGTGACGAGGATGGGACATGGGTGTGCTGGGTTTAGTCCTCAGCTGATAGGTGAAGTTCATGTGCCATTCTGATGTCCCACAGCTCTGGCTGGAAAAGGGGGGTACTACACAATGTTCCCTGACAACAAGCACTCTGTAAAGTAATTTGCTTGCATCTCCCATACGGCTAAACTTATATGCCCATAATTCTTATGCCTACCATCAAAGCAAGGCCAAGACACCACTTCCCAGCTTGCTCTCTTCCCAGCAGCACAGATAACGCCACTATTTCTATTACAAGTTTGTAACTGTTTTACTAATGCCTTCACAAAAATTGCTTTTTATTAACTTGAACAGCAATGTCCATCATTCCAGCTGTTGCACTGCCAAGGAAATTAAGTCTGGGTTAAGACTGGGATCTTCTGAAAGGCATGTGAAAACACAGAGGCCTGGCAAAACAGAAAAGCAGTATCTTCTTTCCCTGTGCCTCACCCAAAACAACACACTGAGGATTACAGTTTTACACAGTTATTAATATTTGGCCATGGTCATACACTTGGAAGAAATTTGCCACTACTGCAATAAACAATCTCCCTCTTAGTAAAAAAAATAAATACACAGATACACACAGGAAGCTTGAAAGTCTACATCTCTTCTTACCCTACAATAAATGTTTTTCTTGCAAATTAAATGCAAGTGGAAATTAGAGCAATTTTCCACTTAGGATGCAGTTTCTAAGGAGATCAAAAGGCATAAATGTCCATATTTCAGAAGCATTTTTTATTAGTTTTTCAGAAGGAGCTCTGATGAAGGCCCCTGAAAACACAATGAGAAATGTATTGACTCTGAATGCCCTTACAAATCCAGTCCTTGCTAGTTCAGATGACTAAGCTGCGTTTTCTCAAGTGACTTACGTTCACCTTAAGTCTTGATAAAAATCTGTACAAATACATCAAGTACTTCTGAAAAACAGATTATGGTAAATAAATCACTTAAACGTTGCAACACTGAGAAGAGCAACATCCACATTCCTTTAAAAATCTAGGACAGGTTACAAATTTCAAAAGCTCACCATTAACTCCAGTGCAAGCTGTCCCTGCCCATAGCAGTGAGGTGGGGTGGGCTTTAAGGTCCTATCCAACTCAATCCATTCTGGGATTCTACAGATTTAAAAAACTCAACACACTGTCCAAAGTGACACGCTTCGCACGTGTTTCACTTCACTTCCTCTTTCTCCATAAATGTAGAGAGGAAAAGAGAAAAATCAAAAAGTTTTCACCATGCTCTGTCTGAATAGGGGTTTTCTGAGTTATGGAAACTCAGGTGGACAGTGTTCACTATTCAATCTACATTTTCCATGACTGCACAGCCACAGTTCAGCATCTCCTGTTTTCACACCTCAGCTCTCATTTGTTCCTCTCACACCTTTGAGCGCTTTCCTTGCCCTCAGTAAAATTTCCCTGATTATCTGCTTTGCTGCTCTCATTTGGCTGTCCCTGCAGACCAACACACCCCTTCCCACCAGGGGCAGAGCCCCAGGATCTCCAGGCACACGGTTTTTGGGCGGGTTTTGCCTGCCGCCCTTCCGGCCGTGCCCGGCCAGCCAGGGATTTGCATGGGCTCAAAATCACATTTGTCATATTCCAGAATGCTGAGTCACAGAGCGCAGCTCCACCAGGACACGGGCATTCTGTGAGCCAGGCAGGCAGGCAGACTGCACAGGTATTAAATGGGTTTACTTCCTTCATGTTAAGGACACTTGAGCTAACAAAGGAGCTGGACAAATGAAAATATTTGCTTGTTTACTTAAGTAATTGATTTTCATGGAGCCCATGCTCTTCTTTCACAGGGTATTATAGTTAAGACAAACTTCAGTGCCCACACAAAAATTTTATCTTGAAGTGTTTTTTTTCATTGTTATAATATTTATCCCCCATATCAAAGTAAATGAAGAGGTATTACACAGTTTAATTCTTTGCATTTTTTGAATAGTCAGTTCTGTCTGCACCTGCAGCAGCTTTCTAAACATCCTAATTTATACCTCAGAGTCTTTCATAAAATGAGGAAAAAAAAAGCTCAGAAAACACACACAACAGCCAGGACAAGGACTTCTGGAAAATGCAGAATCCTTCTGAGTAATTTAATGCCAAACATTATTTAAATCCAGTATTTTTGCATTAATGTGAGCCTGCTGCCCATGACTGATCAAAATTGCAATAAAAACTTTCCACGGGATTTCAGTTTTCAAGTTAAAAAAACTTCTAAGATTTCCATTCACTTTCCAAGCAATTAAAGGATCAGCTCTTGCACAAACAGTGTTGATTCTGGAATTAGCAACAGTTCAGCATTCCCAGGGAGCTATAACTACATTTACTACACACACTTTTTATTTATTATATTACATATGTAGGACAGCTCCATTTTGTTGATTATCGGTATCAAAAAGTCCTTTTATGCAAGTAAGATTTATTAAAATACATAACCGAGTGCCTCAGAAACCTCTCTCATAAAGATACAGATCATTCCAAGCAATCCATCCAGGAGAGGGCACTGATGCTGGGAGGAATTAAGCCAGCACTGTTTTAACACAGACATCACCCTGAGGTTTGTCCTCCCTCCCAGCAGCTCCCAGGACTGGGCAGGGAGTACAAGCCAGTTTGACATCTGCTGGCTGCACACTGGCGTGGAGGATGTGAGCGCATGGGGCACAAACCACAGGGCCGATAAGAGATCACTTGTAGGAAGCACAGGGAGTATTTTTAGCTGTGTAAAAGTAAAACACTGTGACAAGTGTGTGGCAGCTATCTCTGGGGACACCTCACTGTTGCTGTCAGCCCAGTGCTGTCACGAGAAGCCCCTGATAGGAACACCCACAGTGTGCCTCTGGATTTTGGCTTGGGCAGGAAATGCCATCCCAGAGTTGGCTCTGGAAACTCACTTCCAGCTGTGCTGGAAGGTTGAGAGGCTGCTGAGCCCCTGAAGGGAGTTCTGCTTCCATTTCCTTCCTCCTACTTCTACACATCCATGGGCTGAACTCACCTTGGGCCAGCTGCAACAGCACAGAATGGGATTTCTAACCCTTCCAAGGAATTCCAGAGTGGTTTGGGCTGGAAGAGACCCCAAAGCCCGTCCAGTGCCACTCCAGGCAATGGGCAGGGACACCTTCCACTAGCCCAGGCTACTCCCAGCCCTTTCCAACCTGGCCTTGGACACTTCCAGGGATCCAGGGGCAGCCACAGCTTCTCTGGGCACCCTGTGCCAGGGCCTGCCCACCCTCACAGGGAAAAGATTTCTCCCTAAGAAATTTTTGTCTGTTTTTGTATTGAACAGGTTTTTTGCTCATTCAGCAGGATCCATTGGCTCACTGCCATCCCAAGGGTGTGACAGCTGGGACAAGGATGCAGCAGGAAAACTGGAATAAAGCAGGAAGAAGGGAGCAGGGGCACAGTGTGCTGCTGAGTGGCACAGATCATCTCACTCTGAGTTTGCACAATATATTGTGAGGATTCTCTTTGAACCAACATTAGTGACATACACCAGTTTAAGATCTAAATATCCCAAAATGCCAACTTATCTCTCCATTCACATTCATACTAATGAAAAGGAAAAGAGTACAACCTCCTCCTCCTGCCCCACTCCCCCAAAAAAAAACCTGCACTGTGAAGAAGAAAAGTAGACATACCATTTCTTCAAGGAAATAGTAACAACTCTAATGTTATGTCCTTATATAGAGTAACTTCCAGCAGAGAAGTCATGATACAAGACAATGTATATATATCAGAGAAGATAGTGTGTATATAGATATATATATATATAAGATTCAGTGCTACTTACCACAATGTGTTGATAAGGATCTATGATAGACATTTTTGCCTTAGTTTATTCAAGGCAACTGCCAACTATCTATTTCAAATCCACACAGGAGAGGCTTCCCCTCTTCTCAAAGCAGAGTTCAGTATGATAGGTCCTTTAACTAATAAATAAAAAAGAAGATATCATTAAAATTAATCTGTTCCTTCTGAACTATATTTTACAGAGCAAATCAGTTACTCCTCTTTAGGAAGGTTTTCACAATTAATTTGTTTACCAAGAACCTAATTTCCCATAAACTGTGGAGATATAGGTATTTACCTGCCTGAGCTGGAGAAATTTCTCACGTTTATTTCCTCTACTTCAGGGTAAGAGCAGGAATCCAGTATCTTAAATTCCAGTCATGCCAGTGTTTTTAGCAGCTCTGCAGATAAACAAAAGAAGAGAGGAATTATATTTATTCTGTAACTATATTGTAGTATTTACGCTACCATGCATTACAGTGCTAGTTGTGACTGCAAGCTCTGTAGGAGCAGCAATACTGCCCTCTGTAAATCCAGGAAGGGAACTCCAGCTGGAGCTCTATGTAACCTCCTGGCCAACCTCCACTGACTGGACATGTTCCAGAGGCTTGGAGGGGCAAACTGCAAATCAGGACTTCATGGCTCTCCCACAGGCTCACCACAGGCCACTGCTTTCTGAGCACTCAGTGAAGATCAGGGGCCACCAGAGCCCTTCAAAGTCAGAACTGTTTTTAACCATCCAAGTACCAGAGGTTACTCTTGTCTGCATATTAAAAAAACCTAGGGAACTGCTGGACAGGATCAGTTCTCAGATCCAGCTGGACCATCATCAGACCTGAGCCATCAGCAGAAATTTCAAAGTGAAAGGAAGTGAAGCACCATTAGGGGCTTGGTCACAAGGCAATGATTCCTAATGCTCAATTCTGAAACAGCAGGATAAGCCCCAAGCAATTCTATATATCACTCCCAAACCTTTGCTCTTGAGCAACTACATGAAGGCACAACAATAAAAATCTAGTTTCATTATGATCACTAGAACATTACAATGTCCTTTCTTTAATCACTGAATCATTAAGGCTGGATAAACCCTCCAAGATCATCAAGTCCAGCCATTAATCCAGCACTGCCAGGTCCATCACTAAACCATGTCCCACTACACCATAACTCACACGTTTTCTGAATGCTTCCAGAGACAGCAATTCCATCACTTCCCTGGTTATGCCTAACCACCCTTTCCTGTCAGCCCTAACAATAGTTTGAGGCTAGGAATCACCCTGGGTTTATTTATTCATTGTTATCTGAGGGAGTGTGAATAAGAAAGACTTCAGCGTTGGAGAATCATGGTAAACGCACCCAGCTATATAATTTCTGGAGGAACTGCTGACATCTTGGAAGGCAATCCAGGAAAGGGAACAGCAGGAGCTACCCAATCACCATAACAGAGAGGAAATTTATAAAACCAGAAAATACTCATTTCCCTGAAGCGCACAGTCAACTACCACACTTGCTTTGAGAGGATACACAAAACCAAGACGAGGTTACTGCTCTGTCTGGGGAAATAAGAGAACAGGTTAGACCCAGGATGAAAAGCCTGGTTCGAGTTAACGTGCTGCATCCTAAAGGCAGAGTTCCAGCTCCCCAGATGATCCCTCAACTGGTTCAGACATGAGATCATGCTCTCTCTCTCTCCCTACAACCCCCCGCCTCATTTGTTTCGACATCTGCAGGAAGCGCATTGGTGATGCTGCAGACAACAAAACAGCTTCTTTGGCTGCGGGGCCAGCAGAGTCCCCAAGCGCCAGCTGCCCTCCATGGATGAGGCAAGGATCCTGCAGATGGACAAAAACACGACCACGTCACCAGCAACTGCATCCCAACACCCGCGCAGGGCCACGGACAGGGCTCTCAGCAGGGCCAGGCAGCAAGGAGACCTCACACACAAAGCCTGGGATCTCGGGGTCCCACAGGGCTCCAACCACCAGCACTGCAGATCCAGCCCTGCCCATGCCATGGTACTCCAAATGGCAGCTCCTGGCTGGCTGTGTTAATCAGAGTCTCTCAGGATGTGATAAACACCGGCAGGTACCCAAGCACAGGCACCAGTGCCACTTCATGCCCCAGGGCTGGCAGAGGGACAGCTATCCATGCTCTTCCCAGAGCCCATCTCAAGAGAAAGCAGATGTTTAAGTGACATGAATACTTAATCCCTTACAGTGGATTTAATTCAGATCAGGTAATTACACCACGCCCTCTGGAAGCTCGCACTGAATTACCCACGGAGTTTGGGTAAAGCAAATTGTGTGGCAGAGGAGCCAAATACAGAGCAACCAAGAAATCCTGATCCTCATCAAGAGCCGTGAAAAAAGTCTTGAAGAATGTTTACTGCAAACATCTGCAGCAAACAGAGCTGTAATCCCAAAATTATCTTGCTTAACACTTTCCCCTACATGCTGTCCATCCCACACTGCCTAATGGGAAAAACTTCATGGAATCACAGGACATCCTGAGTGGGAAGGAACCCCCAAGGATCATCCAGTCTGATTCCTGTCCCTGCCCAGACACCCCAACAATCCCACCCTGTGCATCCCTGGGAGCTTTGTCCAAACCCTCCTGGGGCTCTGGCAGCCTTGGGGCTGTGCCCATTCCCTGGGGAGCCTGGGCAGTGCCCAGCACCCTCTGGGGAAGAGCCTTTCCTGATATCCAGGAAAACCTTCCTCTGGCCCAGCTCCAGCCCTTCTCTGGGTCCTGTCCCTGGTCAGGGAGCAGAGATTGGAGGAGCTGCAGCCCCCAGTGAGCTCTGCCCTCAGCCTCCTCCTCCCCAGGCTGACCATAATAATTCAGGGCTGTATCACAAGCACACACAAAGTCCTGCACTTGAGCTGGAGTTGCTGAGCCCCACCCTTGGCAGATGCAGGGGAAGCAGTGCCTCCAAACACATCTTCAAGGACACTGTGACATTACCAACACAGGTTGTTTTGTTTCCCTGATACCTGGTGGTGTCACACCATCTGTGACTGTGCTGTTCCTGGGGCTGACAGCATTCCTTACAAAAGAAAGAGCACCTCAAGGCAGCACCACCACCATTAACTGTTTAACTGTATATTATAGGTAATCAAAGAAGAGATTAAGTTAACTGGAGAACAGAGGGTTGTGTGGAGATCTTTCAGCAGGTGAAGGGGCCTACAAGGAAGCCAGAGGGGGACTCTGCATCAGGAATTGTGACACAACAAGGGGGAATGGCTTCAAACTGACTGGGGGGAAATTTAGATTCGACATACAGAAGATATTCTTCCCTGCGAGGGTGGGCAGGCCTGGCACAGGGTGCCCAGAGAAGCTGTGGCTGCCCCTGGATCCCTGGAATTGTCCAAGGCCAGGCTGGATAGGGCTTGGAGCAACCTGGGAAAATATCCCTGCCTGTGGCAGGGGGTGGCACTGGATCCCTTCTAACCCAAATTATTCCATGACCCTCTGATTCTCACTGTTTTATTGGTCAATGCCCAAGTTTACAAATTACACAGCAAACAGGCCACAGTTTAGCCTGGCCCCGTCATGGAGAGGCAGTCTTTCCCTTTCTCCCAGTGCCATAAATCCCAGCCTTGTCATGGAGAGCCAGGATTTCCCAAAGTGCCTAAATCTCACTTACACCCAGGAGTGAACTCTACCTCTGCCAGGACAAGGGTGTTTCATCGCCAGGCACATTTTCAGACACCATCAGTACCAAGCTATTAGTGGATAGCTGGATCACTCCTTGAGTCAATAGTCTTCTGTGATCTCAGCTCATACTCACTCACTTGAGGTGACAGATTGAAGTGGATAAGGGATTATTCTCTTGGAAGACCAACTATAACACAGTAACTCGCAAAAAGAAGCTACACACGCACACACACATACACAGATAGAAATTATTACTGGAACATTTTCATTCTCAGTACATTCCTACAGATAATTCATTTGTACAGGATATGTCAAAAGATAAGAATAATGGGATTTTTCCCAAGCTGAGCACAAGCTTACTCTGGAGTTAGTCTCACCAAGTGGAAAAGTCCTGAAAATGAGTAAACACAGCATAATATAAATATCATTGCCAGAATACGTCTTCACAAGTGTAAGAAAAATCATTAGAGGGAGGTTGTTTATATCAAGCTGTCCAATTCTTCTTAAAATTCAAAGACAGGAACAACTTTAAATATAATAAGTGTGACTCACCAGCACAGTCATTAACTTTCAATCCATCAGAAGAGTAAGGGGTAGAGAATAAGCTAAGTAATGACTCAGACTTTTTGTATGAATGTCACCCTCCATTTCTATCAAATCAGATTACAGCATTTTATTTGGTTAGATTGATCCTGTGATTGTATAACAGAAATAACAAATACTCTGTTTCTACATGACTTTGTCTAGCATCCTGGAAAATCACTGTAATGTTATTTCTTAATTTAGGACTTCCCACACAAGGAGGAAGGATTACCTCTGCTCCATGTAGAGCCCCCATCACTCCACTTCCACCACAAATGGAAAAGTAGATGCTCTGCTGGCATGCCAAGTGGACCAATGGGCCAAGGCCAAAGGGATGAGGGTCAACAAGGACAAGTGCTGGGTGCTGGCCTTGGGTCACCCCAACCCCCTGCAGCTCCAGGCTGAGGGGAAGAGTGGCTGGAAAGTTGCAAGAGGCCTTCAGGGTCTTGGGGACAGAATTAAAAAATGAGCCCAGGTGTGCCCAGGTGGAGCAGAGGCCAGTGGCCCCTGGGCTGTGCCAGCCCTGGTGTGGGCACAGGCCCAGGGCAGTGGCTGTGCCCTGTGCTGGCCCTGCTGAGGAACCTCGAGTGCTGTGTCCAGTTCTGGCCCTCGTGGCCAGAGAGACCTTGAGGGGCTGGAGCGTGTCCAGGGAAGGGTCCGGAGCACCAGGAGGGGCTGAGGGAGCTGGTGGAGCAAAGGAGGCTCAGGGGGGACCTTGTGGCTCTGCACAACTCCTGACAGGAGGGGACAGCTGGGGGGGTCGGGCTCTGCTCCCAGGGACAGGGACAGGAGGAGAGGGAACGGCCTCAGGATGTGAGGTTGGACATCAGGAGGAATTCCTTCATGGAAAAGGTTGTGAGACATTGGAATGGAGTCCCCATCCCTGGAGTTGCCCAAGGAAGTGCTCTGGGCTGGTGACAAGGTGGGGATCAGTCACAGGCCTTTTCCAACCCCAGTGATTCCGTAGTTCTGTGACTGCTGTCCCCATGCTAAGGAAGTGTGGGTGGGAGGAAGGATTCTGAGCAGAGGGGCAAAAAGTTCAACCTTTGTGGCACATTTTTGAAGGACACTGTGAGGTGAAGCTTGTCAAGGAAGTTGACACAGCATAGCTAGACAGGAGATTTTAAGATCTGACTTCCTGCTCTAGGGGAGGTAATAGATGAAG